ACATAGCATTGGGGAAAGTTGCTTTTAAAAGTAATGCGTTACAATATTGAGTTACTCTCTAAAAGTAACTATTTGCGTTACTTTACGTATTATGTAAAGTAATGGGTTATGTTACTCACCTGGGTTGGCCTTGCATGTTTGCTTTTTAATAAAAAAAAAAAAAAAAAAAAAGGGCAAATCTTAAGGTGCCGGCGGGCCCATTTGCCATTGCATGTTTTAAAAAATAATATCTTAATAAAAACCTAAAGAAATATTGCCAAACTATATATCATTTGAAAGCTTAAAATCTCTAGTTTTCATATTTGGTGGCTGTTATCTAAGATAAATTACAGAGGAGCAGTAATTTATCAATTTGCAACAAGAATATTTCATATTCATTAGGAGTATTTAGGCCTTTATTTTGAAATAACAATAAACACGAAAAATCATGAAAGATTGGCAGAAACCTCAGTTTGTTTTCATGCCATGAGTTCAAAAGATAACACCAATTCCATTTAATGAGAAAAAAAGGTCTGAAAATGTTTTAAATATAAAGAAAAAATGTATGGATTCTCGATTTCTGATTGGCTGCGAGCTATAACGCTATAATGTAGTCTTTTTATGCATTTATTAGAGGTTAAATTCAAATCAAATACTGCCAAACCACCCATACTACTTCTGAATAGGATGTCTACTTCATAAATTGTATGAAAATTATGGAAATACATGGTTCAGATGATCACTCAAAACATATATGAAAATGGAGGCGCCCTTATATGGGCAGTAATGGAGTCTAGTGAAAAAGTTGGGTACTGCGCCCAAATAAAATCTTACTGAAAGCTCATTTTTTTAGATATCAACCTAAAATTTGGAATACAACTTGTTCAGATTCTTGTCTTTAATTTTCTTGCCGTTTTAGAGTAAAATATATTTTGTAATATATATATTTTATATAAAATATTAATAATTATATTTTTACATTACACCATTTCATAAACTCAAACTTATATAACTTTTTTTCTGTTTCATTTTTTATCATTTCTAGACTTCTACAATAATCTGGAAAATGTCTTCTTTAAAACAAGACCAGCCAAAGCATTCCTGAATTACAACCATTTAAGTTTGGATAGTGATTTTTATGTCTATGCAAAAAAAAAAGGGGGGTGCCAGTTAACAGCTTAACACCAAAAATGAAATGAAAGAGCCTCAGGCTGAAGGAGATGTAACTTCACGGCTGTACAGTAGAGGGCACTCACACAAAGCTTTCAGCCGCTGCTGTTCTGGACCACAGAAGAATATGAAGCAGGAGAAGAAAGTTCAACACACTTATCTACAATGAAAGGGAAACACAAATGTGATGTTTATCTAAATCTGTTTTGCTGATTATGGATATAATTGGATCATTGAAGGTCAGCAGCAAAGACATATAGTATAGCCTACACATAACATAATAAAGTGAGATTAAATACATAAAGTACATTTGTGCTATTTAACATATTAACATGAAGACAGGAGGGGAAACAAAGTAACTTGAGTTGCTTATTTGAAAAAATAACTCAGATATTTTTGTCAATCTAAAAGTAGTTACTTTGCTATAGTTACTTGAAAAAAGTAATCTGATTACTTAGCTTGCGTTACTTGTAATTCCCCAACATTTTATTATAATGTATAAACATTTGAATTTAAATGTTTGATTTTAATATACAGAATATATTCATGAAATAAATATATCATATATTTTAATGTGTGATTTTAATTATAATGTATTTGTTTTTAATTAATCTTTTTTTTTTATTATTGTTGTGTTTTAAATAATTTTAACAAATTATAATTATTAATATGTACATTTATTACTATTATTTTTACAAAAAATATATAATAATCAGTGGGGAAACTTTTAAAAGTAATGCATTGCAATATTGCGTTACTCTCAAAAAAAGTAACTGATTGCATTACTTAGTTTCTTTTTATGAAAAATAATCTGTTACATTACTTTTGCGTTACTTTTTCTCACATGGGCTTGGCTTGCTTGTTTGTTTTTTTATAACAACAACAAAAAGTTATATTTTTGGCAAATGTTAAGGCCCTTTCACACCAAAAGTGAAATGGATAAGCCTCAGGCTGATGGAAATGCATATTCACGCCTGTACAGTAGAGAACAAACCTTTCAGCCATTCGGGATTAAAGAACAATACGATACAGAAGGAAGTTTCTTATGTCTAAATCTAATCTAAAGTCATTTTTGATCAATTAGATCATTGAATGTCAGCAGCAAAGACACTGGTTAATAAAGTGAGATTAAATACATAAAGTATATTTGTGTCATTTAATATTAGTTATAAAAGTTTTGCAAAAAAAATCTGAAATTGCATTTCACTGTTTTTATTCATTTTGAGAAATACTAAACGTTTTCGTGCAAGTGAGATGAGTAAATGCATGTTCACATTTAGTCTACAACTAAAATAACCGCATGTTCACACACACACACAGCGAACACAACACTTTATTTCTCTCAACATGAGGACAGGAGAGCTGTCAGTCAATAAATGTGAAAAGGTATCTTGTGTTAGGCTACTTATTTAAAAAAGAAACGTAGATATTTTGTTGTAAATTGGAAAAGAAGTGCGTTACTTTACTAATTACTTGAAAAAGTAATCTGATTACTTAACTCAAGTACTTGTAATGAGTTACCCCAAACACGGATTATAATATATAAAAACAGATATTTTGGAGATTTGGAACAACATGAAGGTGAGTAAGATCTTCAAGATTCGACTCAGATCTGCCATAAACTCACACCTGACAGCATAATCATCAACAGAGTATTAAAAGCATAATGCCATATACATATAATATATATATATATATATATATATATATATATATATTAGATGTTTGATGTGGTAAATTTATTTACACATTACAACTAGTAGTGTCAGTCCATACATGACGGTGCCTTTCATTTAGTCCGTTTCACAATATGTGAAAAGCCGAATCTGATCTGCCTTTGAATCACAGCATAAGGGAATAAAAATGGCACGTAAATTAATGATGAGTGGGATTACTCACACCCTTCACACCACAACCTGAGCAGAATGGCCTGAGGTGACTAAGAATTATATGTAAATATTTTATTGAATATAACTCAGAGAAATAAATGTGCTAGTCAGTATGTCCTCTGCTAACGGGGATGGATGCATATATACTATCTGAATGATTTTGTTTTGTGAGACTCAGATCACCCTAATAAAAATGAATAATATATTCGGCTTTGTCCACTGCAGTGAACGCGTTTTTTTGTTTGTTAATAAACTTGTGCACATTAGACATCCTGGACTTTTCTGATAAGCTATATCAAATGTTTAGTATGTGCCCAATGTGCTATTAATATTTGGCATAGTACTGAAATAGTATAAATTGATGATGATGATAATAATAATAATTTTAAAATTCAATATGTTTGTACCAACTAATCTAACATATATATGTATGTGTGTGTGTGTGTGTGTGTGTGTGTAATTATATATATATATATAGAGAGAGTTTTGTTTTTATCATCAATAAAAAATAATAATCGTCAATCAAAATAATATTTATTAATATATACAGTATATATATATTAATAATTTGTATAAATAATGTTACAATTATTTAAAAACAATAAATACAGTAAGTAAAAAATATATAATGATTTATTATTATAATAAATAATTGGTTATTAAACCATTATAATAAATAACATATAATAACAATATTATTTGTATATATATTATTTAGTACCAAAAGGCTGCTCAAGCGCACCTGTAGTCTCACAGCTCATTCTCAGTCAAGGCGAAGACTGGAGCGCGGACTCCCCCGTGTGTTCATTTCGTGTAACTGCAGGCAAAATCCTGCTAGACAGTCAACAATTAAAACTCTGACGCTAAGATGTCTTCTGACAGCCTGCAGCCATTAAGCAGCTGTCGAGCTCAGCTGGGTTCAAATGAAGTGACAGGGCCACTCATCTCCATACTTCCTCGTGGGGAATCGACACACACACACACACACACACACATATCTTAATGCAAATCTCAATGCATGAGTTTAGAAACAAAGTTGAAAAAAAAAAAAAAAAATTGCTCGACTTATAACTATAACATACTATATATATATACACCCTATATAGTGCCTTTTGAATAAGATAAAACCCATAGTTTGAAATATGACTCTCACGTTTACATGGAGCAAAGATAGATTACCTGTAGCTCTGTGCCAAAACTAGCCTAATAACAACACACTCTCTATTTATTAAATGAGAATTTCCCTGGTGTCTAAAAAGTGAAGACTAATGAAGAAGGAAATACACAATGCCAAGGAAATATAATTTACCGGGAAAACACCTTGTGTTGTGGTTAGAATTGTTGAATTATTCCAAATGAATAGATTGGGATTTACAAATAAATGTAAAGCGATTCACAAATAAATAATTAAATTCACAAATAAGATCCACAAAAAATGTAAAAAAAAGATTCACCAAAATGGATCAAATTCACAAATAAATCAAATGTGAATGTGTCCCTAGAATTGTTTCGAAATCCAAATGCGTGCAGCGATTCACAAATGAATGATGTAAATATTCATATTATTTGCAAATATCACTTATTTTATTATTTTTAGTGAAACTACATTTATTTGTGAATCTCAATCTGTTACCTTAACCTGTTTGTGGCAGTGCTTATTTGTTAACAGTTATCAAAGAAATCCTTACACAGTAGCATTTGTAGCTATAAAAGACACAAGGTGATCTATCTATCTATCTATCTATCTATCTATCTATCTATCTATCTATCTATCTATCTATCTATCTATCTATCTATCTATCTATCTATCTATCTATCTATCTATCTATCTATCTATCTATCTATCTATCTATCCATCCATCCATCCATCCATCCATCCATCCATCCATCCATCCATCTATCCATCTATCTATCAGGTCTGAAACTGTAGTAAATGCAATGCTTCTCTCCTGACTGGTGAGGCGCTGCTTCACTTTTCAGTGTTTACCGTCAAGCAGTTCACACTGTCGCAAAACCAACCATCAACTCTGCTGAAAAAACGTTTGAAATGAAGAGGGTACAGAACAACAACATCATCAAACGCGAAGTAAAGTTATTAAATACTTCACGGATCGAATCTCAGCTGGCATCTTGATCCAGATGGCAACATTCAACGGAGAAGGTACAAAGCGATATCATTAATATATACAAAACCCAAGAAAAAAAATCTGTTGTAAAACTGATCATGTGTAAAAAAGCCCTGTGCAAAACAGGTGAATAATCACAAAAACTATAAACATGTTAATACTGTTAAATAAATGGATTAAAGAATCAAATTCCTTAGTTTATAATAAAAATAAACTTAATTTATGATCCATACGTTGTTGAATAAATTTCTTTACAAACAATGAAAGTTGAAGTTAATGAAATTTAAGTGATGGTACATTTATGGGCAATCAGGTATTGTTAGCATTTGATACTATATAATATATTGCTAGCTACTATATATATGTATATATATATATATGTGTGTGTATATATATGTGTGTGTGTGTGTATATATATGTATATATACATATATATGTATATATGTGTGTGTGTGTGTGTGTGTGTGTGTGTGTACAGGGGTTGTTCTCTGAAACACCTGATTTTAGATCACAATAATTTATTGGTATGGTGTAGGGGCTCCTTTTGCGGCCAATACAGCATCAATTCGTCTTGGGAATGACATTTACAACATAAATGGATTGTTCACCCAAAAATTACTTTTAAGGAGGAATGATTCAGTAGTCCTTGCCAGTCCCTACTCTCTTAAGCACAGTGGGGGGATGCCATGACATTGCAGCCCAAACCATCACTGATGGCTTCACTCTTGTCAGAAACAGTCCGTGTGTTAAGACTCTTTGGGGATTTTCCACACTGTAACTACCAGGGATGTGGGAAAGACAGTGGACTCATCAGAGAACAATACATATTCAACATTGTCCACACCCTAAGATGTGCACTCTGTTGGCTCCATTGAAACTGATAGTTGGCACTGGCACGACTCACAAGTGACCAAAGGTTTGAGTATAGCAGTCTGACCATGAATATTGACTCTGTGAAGCTCCCGATGAACAGTTTTGGTGGAAACGTGAGAGTCGAGGTGCGCATTTGATTCTACAGTGAGTTGGGAATCTGTGGTTTTATGTTTATTGTATACAATCCGGGCTAGTACCTGGACATCTTCCTCTTGCGACGACACTTACTCCTATCGGATGTGTTTCGTCCGACATTACTCTGGATAGCGTGGCTCTCGATCCACCACAAAGACTTGCTGCCCTGGTCACAGATGACGCACCAACAATTTGTCCTCTTTTGAACTCTGATATGTCTCCTATTATGTTGTGTGGATTGCAATATTTTATGTCCAGCTGTGCTATTGGTCTACTAATTTAACCTTCACACTCTGCTCTCACTGAGGGAATGTAAAACCAGTGAAGATTGGCCACTAGACCGCAGATATATAGGCATGAATCCTCCAACGCTATATTGGCCAGTGTTTAAGTTTTATTGACTAACTCCTGTGAGGTACTACAATGTTTTCCTTTTCCCCCCTTTTATATATTTGATGTTAATTCACAGGAATAAACCACCTATTAGTAGAAGTGAGTCCTGACATCCACATCTGTGGCTTCTGCAAACAGCAGTACAACAACGTTGAGCTCTTTTTTGCACACAAGCAAAACTGCTGCCAGATCCCCTCGACTCAAATATCAGCCCGAAACAGTGGATCCAGTGGTGAGTTTCACCTCCAAGTACCATGTCCCTTTAAATGTCATAAATACTCGGTATATAGTAGACTGCACTGTTCACTATTCATGAAAGCGTTTTTTAGAGTCATTTCAGACATGTGTACCAAAAGTCAAGAAGACCCTCACCAGAGCCCAGAAAACCCCCTCCAAAAAGCTGAAACCTGCACTAACTCAAAAAAGACACATATGCACATTCTCAGGTAAGTGTCAGCAACAACATTGCATTTCTTATTTTAAAGAGGACCTATTATGCTTTTTTACTTATTCAACTTTCTTTAGTGTGTAAGGCCCATGACACACTGGCTGCGTGGCGTTTCTGTTGCGTGTCAGCTGCGTGGCGGCTGCGTCGCGTTTTCTGTGTCTTTGCACACTAGAAACGTGTCTGACGCTGCGCTGCTGACACGGATCACCCTTGTTCGACATATGGGAGAGAGTTGTGGAAGCCCTATACTTCGTGTTAAGCATTTAAATATAAAGCCTACTGATAAAGACACTGTCAGCTAGCCTAGCAATCTAGACGCACCTTAGCGGCAGCAAAAATTATTTTGCAGCAAAGTGTGGTCTAGCAACTCTCCATAGACTTTTGAGCTGAAAAAAACAAAAACTGGTCCGGCCAATCAGATCGTGTAGAGTTGGTGGGCGGGCTTAACATAATGACGGCAGAGTTATGACGGTTCCGCGTGATTTCCACAGGTGATTTCCCTCTGCTTGAAAACAAAGAAGATGCTGCTGGCGAACAGCGGTCTCTCGAATCGGCTTTGCCCGCGACTCTGGATGACTTGGAGTTAAGAGAACGTCACTTAAGTCATTCCTAAAAAAGGAAGATGTGTTCAGAGTTTTGACGACCGGATACGGCAAAAGTTTAATATACCAACTAGCTGGTTCACTGGTGGAAAAACGCATGGGACTCACTCGGCCACAGCCGTTGGTTGCTCTGGTTGGTTGTAGCGCTATCCTATTGCGTGCCGAGGGATATTGAAAGACAACCGTTTATTGAGGTATGCCAATTGTGAGTTCCCAGACCTAACATCTTGATGTAGGTCTGGCTTGCCAGGCTAACTGTCAGCAGTATTGACAGCAAAATAGACTACAGAATATTTTTTGTTCTGTATTGACAGGTGCAATATTTGAAAATTGATAATTAGGCCTATTTATTTATGTATTTTTAAATTAGGCCTATATTTATTTCTGAGTTTGTCAAAACCTAGACTTTCAACCATCAAAATGTAATTTATTAATATGTATTCGTGTACAAAATAACATATAAACATCTTTTCCTATTCTATTTTGCCTGGAAACGCTTCCAACACGGTTGCGTGTCGCGTGAAAAATAGGCGTCGGTTCTATTTCTAGCATGCACACGTTTTCCGCGCGCCTCGAGCCGCGCCTGAGACGCGCGTGTCACGCAGGCAGTGTGTCATGGGCCTAATGTTGCTGTTTGAGCATGAAAAAGGTCTGCAAAGTTACACAAAGTCACTCCAAAGGAGTTATTCTCTATATCAGTAACTGTTTCTGAACTCCCGGAAACGCCTTGAGAGTCTTGAGTTTTCTTCCGGGAACGAACACGTCACAATATTCCTAATTTAAATAATTACCGGCCTGGTTGAGTTAGTAGTTGTGTGTAGTGTGTTGAAAGTGCTGAAAAGTGAAGCCAAAGCGCTTCGATCGCCCAGTTTAGGTCATAAACCCCGCCTCCCCATGAAGTCTAATGGACAGGATGGAAACTAAACAATCAAATTACACTTCAAAGATGTTTTCTGTCATTTTAGGTCGTTTTTATCACGCTGATTTAAGTTTAAGTGTTTGTTTTTTTTAATAAGTTTGATCTTAGTTTGTTATTAGATGCTATAAAAAAGGGAATGTGACGTCATGATTGACAGCTTCTCTAAACGAAGTAGGTACCAACTGACTTTTTGGGGGATTTTCGGGAGGAGGAGATTGGAGCTTCAACTCTAATTTCTACATGTCCATAACTGTTTATTTCACACAGTAAACTTTGTAGTAACCGTTTCTGCGGGAGTGAGGGCGGGACCTTGATATCCCGGCTTTACTTCCTGCTCACTACTGCGCAGACTCGGGTCCCAAATCTGCGCAAGATGTCAGCGCCGTATTAGGACTTTGCCGGCTTCACATTTCACCAATGGAAGAGAGTGAAGGGGCTTCGTCCATCTTTTTTTACAGTTTATGGTTGAAACTCAAGGGACTTGACAAAACCTTGGGAGAAACCAGACTCAGTCGGGGGCCAGTTCTCCTCTGGCCAACGAACGAACATGGTGTGATTTATGATTCAGAAGTCATTACCGAGATTGTGTATCAGTAGCATTCAAATATTCATCCAGTTTCTTTTGCTTGAAGATGGGATCATCATGCCAGTGTGCAGCTGAAGCTGGTCACAGGTCTGTGCAGAGGACTTGTTTGGTTCTCGTGGTGTTTGCTGAGGTCCTGTCACTGTGCCGATGGCTGTCGCGTCGACGAGGCCTTCACAGGGGATTGTCTAGTAGACATGGTCTCTTCTGACATTCAGGGATGCGTTGTGATCGTGTCTAGGTGCAGGTCCTGATGTAGATTCGGACCGGATACGGCTGACTACGGTAACCTTGGGATAAACAGAGAGACTTGTATTAGGATAGATGCCATTCTTCTTATGATGTACATCGGGTGTTATTGGAAGTCCTACTGGTTCCGCCTGACCTAATTTACCCAGCCTAAATTCTAATGAATGTGATAATTTGTTATGTGTAAGCCAGGTTAAAGAGTGTTTTTAGTCTAGATTTAAACTGAAGGAGTGTGACTGCTTCCCGAACAAGGTTAAGAGTTAAATAGGAGAAGGATCTACCGCCTGCAGTTGATTTTGATATTCTAGGCATTATCACCTAGCCAGAATTTTGAGATCGCAATAAACGTGAAGGACTGTAATGCGTTAGGAGCTCGCTCAAGTACTGAGGCGCTAAACAATGATGTTTAATAGGGAGCCAATGCAGTGTTGACAGAACTGAACTAAGAACCTTTTAAGGTATTAAAAATCTGTACTATATGGAGCTTAAAAGATGTTTTATTTCATTTTGTGCCCTTAGGTTGTACATTCAAAACTCAGTATGGCCAAAAAGACATGGAGAGACACATGTTAACACATACTGGTAAGTAATTTCCACTCTGTATTTTCATCTTACACTTATCTGACATTATCAAAATGATGCCAAATGAGCATTAAAGTGCTGAGATCTGTCTCCTTTCTACAGGCGAGAGGCCTTTCGAGTGTGAACTGTGTCATAAGCGTTTCAGTCGTCGCGATAAGCTGAATCTCCACAGCCGATTGCACACAGGAGAGAAACCACACAAGTGTAAGCACTGTCCGTACGCGGCGGCCGACAGCAGTAGCCTGAAGAAGCATCTCCGCATCCACTACGACGAGAGACCCTTTAAGTGTCAGATATGCCCCTACGCCAGTCGCAACTCCAGCCAGCTGACCGTTCACCTCCGATCCCACACAGGTGAGGACAGCTGGGAATTAATATGCCAGTTACACTCAAGTTTGGGGTTAGTAAGATGTTTATTTGACACTTTTATTCAGCAAGGATGCATTAAATTGATCATAAGAGGAAGTAGAAACATTTACAATGTTACAAAAGATTACCATTTCAAATAAATGCTGTTCTTTTGAACTTTTCACAAAAATATGAAGCAGCACAACTGTTTTCAACATTGATAAATATCGGAAATGTTTGTTGAGCAGCATATCCGCATATTAGAATGATTTCTTAAGGATCATGTGACACTGAAGACTGTAATGACTGTAATGATGTGGAAAATTCAGCTTTTCCATCACATGAATAAATTACGTTTTATTAAAATACAAAAGTTTTAATAAAATGTTTTAAGTTGTAATAACTCGCAGTATTAGTGTTATTAAAAATAAAACCAGCCTTGATGAGAATTGAGAGAAATTAAACCTTTTAAGGTTGAGTGTAAATATAATGCATTATATACAGTGTATGTGTATATATGTATAAGCTATCAATAGAAAAACAACCCAGATCAACTAAAATCTTTAAAACTACCACAAAAATCAAGTGTTTTTCTAGAATTTGTTTTTGCTGTTTTCAGCCACACAGACCATTTCCAGGAACTACTGATATTTGAGAATTTACACTTGCATGTGAAACTTGAAGATTAATGAGATAAAACTGTTTTCCTGTTTCTTGTTTGAGAACACACAAAATCAATTATATAATTACTGGTGTTTTTCCAAAATAATTTTTATAAAATGTCAAAATAGTATCGTTTTTTTTTTTTAACAGCCTTGTACATAACAAAAATTGCACTTTTTATTTTGCTTGATTAGTATGTTGGTAACAAAAGGGGCTTTCGCACCGGAGGAACCTTTTCATAGTTCCTAGAACTAATGGCGGAATTACCCACCTTTTGGCGTGTTCGCACCTCAGGAACTGGGAACGAGTTTAGTTCTAGGAACGCCTTTTGGCGAAACTAAATTATCTTACTTCAGAGTAGGGTCTAACCCTGCACAATAGAGTGGTGCAGGTATGACGTCACTTTGTTGGCCGACAGGCAATTAGGATCACACTGGTTCCCTCGACAAAAACCCAATAGGGTTTTTCCATAGGCTTTTGAATTATCGCTAAAAACAAGGCTATAAATGAACTACACCACGGTCGCGCAACTTCAACGTCATCATCAGTAACCTTCCGACAACATTTTCCCATAACGTTTGAGTTAGAATAGTTTGTAAGACACAATTAAACACACTAAGGCTGTACAAGCGGACTGAGTTTACCTTTTCCTCTGTAGTCCCATTTAGCCACCTGTTTGCAACTGCCTTTTTCATGACATGTAACAGCTTACATCAAGAGTGGGGTCATACTGATGTATTTTATGTCGTAGAATAAAACGTGAAAGTGTCTTGAGCTTGTGTTCACCACAGACCTTATTTCAGCCATTTAACCAAAATCCCATTCAAAAAACCCATTGACTTTGGGACGTTGGAACCGGAAGTACTAAAATGTAACTCACTTCCGCGTAACCTGCACCACTCTATAGGAACTACCAGTGACGTAAGTATACGCTGATTGGCCGAATGCACGCGAAAACACCGGCACCCGACATTTCTTTTTAAATCCGTGAACACACAGTTTATAGTCTGTATGTTTACTCCAGAAACTAACTCTACAAACATGGAAAACAGTTTTTCAGCAACTTTTGAGGGGCCCAAGCGAAACATGATTATGTATTGCTGCTCAGCTAGCAACACTGGACATCAACCACACGGCAAACGCTAATACTTTCTCATATACTGTCTACTTTCTTTGAATATCAGTTCTATGTAATAACGTATTAGACTGACCTGTTAAACAGATTGTAAACTAAAGACAGATAATGGGAGCGCTGTATGCTCAGGCTCTAGCGTTCTCCGCTAGACTTCCGGTTCATTAGCTGCTATAGGGAAATAACGAGAAGAATAACAAACTGCAGTAAATGGTAAAACCGTTTGCGCTACAAACCAGCATGTTTATAATTAAGCCACTACATTAAAATAATAGGGTAATAAATACCAGTTGCAATATCAAACAGCATAACAAGCTTTTTTGTACAGCTAAAATAACTGGAAGCGGATGACACTGGAAGCCAGACACATTAAATTTACAAATGGCCACGCACACGTTTACGTCAAAAATAAGGTGGATACTGGTGGTGCGAATGCACCCAGGAAAACGGAACTAAAAAATGTAGTTCTCGGAGAACCACCCTGGTGTCTAGTTCCTATAACTACCCAGTGCGAAAGCCCCTAAATAGTATTCCTTTATTTGTCAATTATCAGAACTGGTTGTAAAAATTGTGTTATTTGTGTTCAGTTCACATGTCTGGATGCTTCCTCCTCAGGTGACGCCCCGTTCCAGTGTAACCAGTGCGACGCCAAATTCAAGATCAACTCCGACCTGAAGCGTCACAGCCGGGTTCACTCCGGCGAGAAGCCTTATAAGTGTGATCTCTGTGAGTATCGCTGTGCCATGAAGGCCAATTTAAAATCGCATGTGCAGCTGAAGCACAGCGCCTTCGACTCCTTCCGCTGCTCAAAGTGCGACTTCCAGTGCTCCACCAAAGCCATCCTGCGACACCATTCCCGCCAGCACCAGCCGGCCCAGCCTTTGCAGTGCGGCGAGTGCAGTTACTCCTGCTCCAGCAAGGGGGCTCTCAAGATCCACGAGCGCGTGCACTCGGACGAACGGCCCTTTAAATGCGAGCACTGTTCGTTTGCTAGTAAGCAGCGCAGTAATTTGTTAATTCACAGGAGGAAGTGTCATGCGGATAAACCGGACAGGCAGGGTAAGGGCGGGACAGGGGAGGAGCCTCCCAAACCTATTAGCTCACGCTACCGGGCGAGACTGGAGGCAACGCGGGGGTTTCGCTGCGACTTGTGCGAGGCTTCGTTCGTCAGGGAGGATTCTCTTCGCAGCCACAAGAGGCAGCATAACAGTAACGCACAACAACAAAGTCATAATCAAGAATCACAAACTGTTACCAAACAACCTGTAGAAAATGCAGGATTTGCCCCTATTGCAACCGATTCGCCGTCTTCCTACAGCGCAACGCATCTTAAGATCATTGTGGCGCCCTCTTTAGGACCGGAGGCTACTTTTGTTCAGGCTTCCTCTGCAAAGGCGGGAGCAGTTTTGCTCGGTTCGGATGATCACGACGTGCTTTTGAACCCTGTAATACAGCACGTCAACATGCTAGCACCAGAAGGCGGCCTCGGGCACCAGACGGTTTTACTCACTCAAATCAGTCCCGGTGAAACCGCCCCTCAGACCAGCACTCAAAACTTCATCGCCTCCTGTTCTGCATCAGCTTCCGATGGCACACACACCTTCATCACGTCCTGCTCTGACCTGGAAAGCCTCCACAAGCTCATCCAGGAGGGCGGGACTGAGGTTACGGTGGTAACGGAGGCCAATCCGTCGATCGCCGCCACAAAGGAACCACTGAACATTGACGGCGCCTCTTCTCAGGGCATGTCCAAGCACTCAGAGGACGCTATGCCTGAAGACAGTTTAGATATTGGTTCACCGGGGACCATTCTTGTTCAAAGTCTCCCTCTGTCGATTTCAACACAAGACCAGCAGGCTATTAAGTACTCTCTGTCTCCCCACAATATATTTTCAGACTCCAGCACAGTGGACATCAGTGATTCGTAGTTATGCAAATCATGAGATGTCACTGTGATATCACAATATTAAAATGAACTCTTTTTTTTTTGTTGGTTAATTTCCTGTTTCTTTATCCAACTAATGCTTCATTCACATTGTGTTGGAATTCCTGTAATTATTAGATGGCAACTTGGACGTTCGGCTCTGAGGTGTTTATGGAAATGAATCAATGTGCAAGTTTGTTGGTAATGACAACAAAATACTTCATCACTACTTTCTTTAATTCACATTGAAATACAAAGAAAGCATAGCCACTGCCATTTTGGTGGAAGTCAGAGCTTTCATAAAATTAACAGTTTATAACTTATATTTATGAGTTTGACAAAGACGTGAATACGCTGATTTCACGCAGCCGACATTTTGAAATGGCTCCGGTGGGAAGAAAACTGGAAGTGCCACCTTTAATCATAGGAGAGTCGCGAATGCGATGGCGTATTGTTGTTTAATGTAGAAATTAGTTATTCTAAAAATGTACATACATTTCTTTCATATTTTAACTATATACAGTGAAATTCATTTATAAATAAAATTATTTTATATATATATAATTCAGAACGTAAAAAAAGGAAGCAGGAACGAACTATATCCTATATTGGATATTAACATCCAATTGGGTAAATCGCGGCAGCAGCTTCAGGTTGGTAGTCCAAGGCATTGTTGTCTATATGTACTTCCGGGGTTCTTCCCACCGGAGCCTCGCTTTCGATTTCAAAATGCGTGAAATCAGCGTATTGATCTTACAAGTTGAAAATGTGTTATTATGGAGATTCTGGATAATTCTGACATGATGTAACATATAGAGGTTGCCATGATGGATCAGGGTGTCATAGTTTCATTTTCAAGTTATGCATCAAATCAAATGTGGACAAATCTCTTCGTACAGTAGGCTAAAACAAACATTCTTCTTTGTCAGTTTTTGACTTGCGTTTACCTTTTAATTTGTGTTTTTGTGTATTTTCTGTTTTTCAGGTGGTTAGTGTTTAATACTGCTCTGGTAACCAAAAAGTAACCCTTCAAGAAAAAAGTCATTCAAAAGTTTGGAGTCAGTAAGGAAAAGAAGAAAAAAAGAAAGAAAGACATTTTTTATTCAACAAGGATGCGTTAAATTGATCAAAAGGGAGAGTAAAGACATTTATAATGTTACAAGAGATTTATATTTCAAATACATGCTATTCTTTTGAACCTTCTATTCATGAAAGAACCCTGACTTTTTTTTTTATCATGGTTTCCACAAAAATATGAAGCAGCACAACTGTTTCGACATTGATGATAATGTTTTTTGATCATCAAATCAGCATATTAAAATGATTTCTGAAGGACCATGTGACACTGAAGACTGAAGTAATGATGCTGAAAATTCACTGGAATTGCAAATAATTACAGTATTGGTGAGCAAAAGAGACTTCTTTCGAAAACATTTTAAAATCCATTTGACACCAAACCTTTGAATGTTAGCCACACAAGCTTGAATGCGTTGCTTGTGCCGTGAAATAAGTCGTAAGTTGCCTTTACATAAAAGTTTGTTAAACAACTATTTATTTTTTAGGCAACACTTTACAACAGGGTCTCATTTGTAAACATTAGATAATGCATTATCTAACATGAGCAATGAGCAATGTTGGTGAATAAAAATACAATTCATTGTTCACATTAGTTTCAGTGCATTAATATTAATTGGCTACTCAACTTTTGAGTTGACTTGAGATTAATGTTTTTATTATTATTAATAGTATGTAGTTCATGTTAAGTAATGTAGTTAACAACATATGAAACCTTCTTATAAAGTGTTGCCTAGTTTTCAAATAGTGTGCATCTAATCTCTAGGGATTTCTGTCACAAAAAAAATCCCTTCATATGTTGTATTCTTGTTATGACTCATGATAATTAGTCAATTTAATTTTTGTCAAAGCCAGTGTAGCCTACTAAGCGGTGGCGTTTTACTGGTTTATTCCGATTTGGTAAAGGAACAAGCTGAATTTCACAATGGGAATAGAAGAATAGTTTAGCTTGTAGTTTGCGACGAGATTCAATTGTTTTAACAAGCAAAACCTTTTCTTGCCTTTAGATGTCAGTGCAACCTTCAAAATGCTATTGCAAAGCCAGAGATCTCGGTAAGGATCATCAGTCATCTCTTATCTCATGTTTTCAGTGTAATTTAGGAAATAAAAGTTCAACATGCAGATATTACACTGCGTGTGATCTTTGATTTCGCGCCAGTAGCTGATATCCACCTTGTAGCAGTTAACCAATGCCTGCATACGCATGCGAACTATCACGTTTCCTGCAGTGACAGTTGCGAGATAAGATCTTTCAGGCAGTTGTAGAGATGCAGATGGAGACGCATGAAATATGAGTGCTGCATTTTGCCTGTGCGTGCATATGCCTGACCACCAGTCTCATATCAGGCCATTTCCCCCGCCACAAGCTCACGCTCAGCTAATCCAACCAGATAAAGCCTGTGACCTCTTCCTCTCAGTGGATGGGTGAGCTGGAAGAGCACCTGTTTGCACCGGTTTTCTACCAACAACAATCACATTTCATATTTTACTTATGGCTAATATCCTTTTGGTTGCTATAACGTTACCAGAACTGCTTGAATGTAACGTTACGTTAGGGAAAAATGCTTTCGTCGTGGAAACCATTTTCAGCGCTGGTTGTGCGTCGGTAACGTTAGATTAATTCAGTTCTTCAAAATGATGTTTTTATACTTATTTTAGTTATTAACTGTATAATTGTACAGTGTTTTCTTGACAATGAAAGTCACCACACTTAAATCCACTAGCTCTGCTTGGGTGTCGTCGATAGATAAAGATTCGGATCGATTTGATTTGTTGACATCGAGTCTTTGATTTACGTTTGCAGTTAAAGGGATAGTTCACCCAAAAATCCTTTATTGTCTCACCCTCATGTTCTAAACCCGTAAGACTTTCATTCATCTTCCGAACACAAATGTTCAATCTTTTTGATGAAATCTGAGAGCTTTCTGTCCCTCCATTGTCAGCTAGGCCTACGCTACTACACTTTGACACTTCAAAAAGTTCATCAAAGTGGTAGTTGCGTAACGTTAGCTGCCCACGAAGGGACAGAAAGCTCTCAGATTTCATCAAAAGATCTTCATGTGTGTTCCGAAGATGAACGAGTCTTAGGAACAACATGAGGGCGAGTAAATTATGTCAGAATTTTTATGTTTGGGTGAACTTTCCCTTTAACTTTATAATCATCAGTGATTTCATAACAGCAAGATTGCGTCACATGAAATAAATTCCAGCAGCCTTTGACGAGTGTTGATAGGCTAAATGTGTTATTTTTTTTATTATTTTTTTTATACAGTAAAATAATGAATATTAACTGAATGTGTATTTGTTTGCTGTTAATAAGTATAACTTTATAATTGTACAGTGATTTCATCAGTTATCTGGATTGGTTATTTGCCAGTCTGTGATCTCTGTCACAGTAATTGAGTCTCTAAAAAGAGAGACTCTCTTTGAGTCTCTCTGACCTGATGTCACTTTCCTCATATTTCTAAAAGCATGAGCTCTCCACTGGACAGAAGTCAATATTTGGCGACCTCATTGTCACTGTCCCCCGCTGCATTCTTCAGACAGCCGTGTGTTTGCATGGAAGTGAAGGCTACATCTGAGTGGGAGTCTCACAGGGACAAGAGCACATTGATTTTTCCGTCAGTGCTAATAGATTTAGCAGCTCAGTACTGACCGCGCTCTCTCCTCGGAAGAAAACACTCTGTGACTCCGTATGAATGATGTTCAAACAGAAGAAAAGCCAAACGCTGTCAGACGTGCCATGTTTTGATTATCCAGCGCCCCATGAAGCTGTGCTGTGCAGTGTGTACAGTTTGAGCAGATATCTGGAAAATCCACTGTGTCTGAGGCCTTACAGTCATGTCATGTTTAGGTTCAATGTCTTGTTCTGTTTCTAGTTTGGTTTTCCTTGGCCGTGTCTGAAATCGCCCCTATATCCTCATTCACTAACCCTTAGTCCACTAATGTAGTTCACTTGAGGGAGTGAATGAGAACGAGTGAGTGAATTCAGACACTGAGTGCGCCGGAAGGGCTGCCGCTTTTGCATAGTTTGTTCTTGCTGTTTAATAATCATTTGAAACTTCGCAAACTAGCTCCAGTAGAAATGAAAAGATTTATCTTGAACTCTATGGAAACTAGCTTGTTTAAACCTCAAAACAATTTAATAATCAATTAAAAAAGGATTTTATACCTGTATGATATTACGCTGTAGCCACATTGGACCAGCGGTTTGGAAAATGGATGGATGGATGATTCAGCTGTGGGCGCCATCTTCTGGTCAGACGTGGGAATTCATTCAGCGCGCCACCCTCGCAGTGCATTATGGGTATTCTCCAGCCATTGAGCGTACATCAGTTGTACACTCGTTATTGTGGGATTTAATAAATGCACTTGATAATGTCCACTATGTTTTTGGACACAAATGGCTTTCCCCTCAAATAGAGGCATATTTAAGGGTATAGGCGGCGATATCGGACACAGCCCTTGTTACTGTGTTGCCTGTGTAGTTGTCATCGTTTCTGATTAGTTCACACCTGTTCCCTGTTCCGTTGATTATCCTTCCTTGTGTATTTAAGTCATCAGTTCTTTTGCTCGTTTTAACGTTATATTACTTCTGTTGTGTGCGTTTATCTCTTGGTGAATTCAACATGCAATCAAAACTGACCCTTTTGACTTTCTTAAAGGCCCGCTGAAGTGCCTTGAAAATCGCACAGCATTATTCAATGTATTGACGAAATTTCCACTGAAACTGGAAGACAGGGTGGAACATATTGAACAGCTCCTCCCCCTTTTTAAAATCGCCAATAGCGTTTAGTTTATAAATAGCGTTTTAGTTTTCAAATATAGCATTCTGTGTGTGAATTCAAATGGGTCCGATATGTTTTGTGATCGCACATATATCCGCTCTGTGCTATCGTGTCTTTGGACCGGAGCAGACTGTGCGCCCGCTGCGGTTCACATGACGCTAACGTGAAACCAGACTTCATTCTCCCCAATG